CCCGGCGCCCGGGGACATACTTTCAATTTGGCGCCCCCCTAGGGAGCAAATTTTCGATTTGCACCCCCCCCCTCAAACTTTCGATTTGCACCCCCTCCCTCGAACTTTTCATTTGCACCCCCACCCTCAAACTTTCGATTTGCACCCCCACCCCCCTCGAACTTTTCATTTGCACCCCCCCCCTCAAACTTTCAATTTGGCGCCCCCACTAAGGTCGGCGCCCGGGGGACATATGTCCCCCCCGCCCCCCCCCCCCCCCCCCCCCCCCCCCCCCCCCCCCCGCTACGCCTCTGCTTCAGCTCCATGCACATTTATCAATAATTATTTTTATTTTCAAAACTCATAAAAATATTGTTCTGCAAAACTCGGTAATGAAAGATACAATAATAAATATAAACAATAAACACTCACTATTCTATTAGAATATTTAGTTACTCCCCATTTCAATGTAGGCCTACTTCCTTGTTTACTAAAACTGAATTATTTTTTAAATGTAAACAATGCCTAATCTTGGATCATATTCATCAGTGCACGCGTTTACCCTACACTACCGCCCAGCACGGCTCTGAGTGTAAGTTATCCACTCACCGTAATATCACCGTTAATCAATCACCGCCTAAGTGTCAGGGGCGGAAAGTCTCGCTTTTGTGAACCCCATTACACTATCCCAGGGGCGCCGCGTACGGCCCTTAGCTCGGTTTACTTATCAATGTCGTGTGCCGCATTATTAATATTGTAGGGCGCTCCTTAAAACTAACGTAGGCGCGTAGTGCTCGGGGATAGCACTAGGCGCCAAAATCGTACCGTGCAGAGATTACGGAGGATACAACCTGATCAGAGGCGTAGCGACCCTCCTCCCGGCGCCCGGGGACAAACTCGATTTGCAACCCCCCCGTGGAACTTTTCATTTGCACCCCCCCAAACTTTCGTTTTACCACCCACCCCCCTCGAACTTTTCATTTGCACCCCCTCAAACTTTCAATTTGGCGCCCCCCCCCCTAAGGTCGGCTCCCGGAGAACATATGTCCCCCACCCACCCCCGCCCCCCCACCCCCGCCCCCCCCCCCCCTCGCTACGCCTCTGCACCTGATTCAATTAAGTGAGCGACTTTAGCCATTTTATCCATAGCCCATTAGATGTTTGAATGAACGTAGGCGCCATAGTGCTCGCATGTGTGGCCCGGGGCTCTGGGGTCGCGCAATCGACGAGGCGGCCTGTTGCAGTTTTACCGCTGAATATAATGGTATCCCTTACCAGTGGCGTAGCGAGGTCGGGTGTCGCCCCGGTGCGGCACTTATTGTTGTCACCCCCCCCCCCCACCCCCAGGAGGTGTAGCGACCCTTCCCGGGGACAAACTTTCAAATTTTCGATTTGCATCCCCCCCCCCACCCTCAAACTTTCGATTAGCACCCCCCCCCCCCCTCAAGTTTTTCTCTATATATTTTGCTATTTTTTGCCTTGGTGTCACCCCCCTAAATGGTGTCACCCGGTGCGGTCCGCACCCCCCGCCCCCCCCCCTCGCTACGCCCCTGTCCCTTCCCCATTATACTGGACGCCCGTTAAGGATGCCAAGTGCTAACATAGCCGCACTGGAACTCTGGGCGCCAAACCGTTTAACCTCCAACCTTAACATCAATGACCAACCATCAATGTTTAACCCTACAACCCTTACATCAATGTTTAAAACATCCAACCCTTAACATCAATGACCAACAATCAACGTTTAACCTACAACCCTTACATCAATGTTTAACATCCAACCCTTACATCAGTGGACCAACCATCAATGTTTAACCTACAACCCTTACATTAATGTTTAACATCCAACCCTTACATCAATGACCAACCATCAATGTTTAACCTACAACCCTTACATCAATGTTTTAACATCCAACCCTTACATCAATGACCAACCATCAATGTTAACCTACAACCCTTACATTAATGTTTAACATCCAACCCTTACATCAATGACCAACCATCAATGTTTAACCTACAACCTCTAACATCAATGACCAACCACCCTGTCCCACAACACGACCGCTCTCGTCGCTAAATATTTTATTCATTTTCTCTCCTCTAGCCGTCTGCAGGTGACGTCACTATAACGACGAGTGGAGATAATGTTGACGTCTATTCTCCCACCCGCTGGGAAGCGTATATCATCATCCGGACGCCGTAAAGATTACACGCTGAAAATAGGTAACACAGCCAACCCCCACTTCCATTAAAACCCCCACAGTCAGCGCCTCTAGTTGAGCTACAACCCGAATCATGACCACCAACCGGCTACCACCACCACTAAATCACCACCAGCGTTTCACCATATAACCACCACCATTTTACCGCCATCATGCAACAACACTATATCACAAATACTCAGTGTTTCTTCCAGACTTTTTTCTCCGGGGGGGGGGGGGGGCACTTGAAATTTTCGGGGGGGGGGGGGGGGCTGACACTGTTAAAAGTATATATTTTCTATATCAATTATATACATTTCATTTCGTTCGGGGGGGGGGGGGGGGGGGGGGGGCGGTAGAATTTTTTCGCCTCCCCCCCCCCCCCCCCCCCGAAGAGATGCCTGGAAGAAACTCTGCAACTACTAGATCACCATGACCATATCACTACCACAAAACCACCACCACTACACCACCATCACAAAATGATTATAAATGATAACTAGAAAATGATGGTTAAACATTTCTAGCTATATTTAGCATCACCAGAAAATTATCTTCAATCCATAAGTTTTTATTATGTAATTTTCATTTACTTAATTTTGTTTTATTTTATTTTTATTTTATTTTTTAAATTTTATTATTTTTAATTCTATATCTATGTCGAAATTTCAATATTTAGATTAGGGGTCTCCAAACTTTTCAGTTCGGGGGCCAGTTTCTTCCAGACATGTCTTTGATTTTTTCTGGGCAAAGTTCCTCAGCCATCACCAACAAACGTTTTTTTCAGTGGACAAAAAGATCTCCGCGGGCCGGATGAGAGGACCTCGCGGGCCGCATCCGGCCCGCGGGCCGTAGTTTGGAGACCCCTGTTTTAGATGATGAATTCAGCCTCATTTAGCGTACTCTGATCCAACTCCACTATTTACAGTTTAGCCTATTACACCTTTTGGACTAAGTGTGGTTGGAGCATAAAAAAAAAACTACAACAGTATCTTCATTCACGTTACTCATAAAATAAGAATGTGCAATTTTAAATATTAATCCAACCTGTTTTAAGTCTATTTATATGATCAGAAATTGTAACCTATGGTTTATCATTCACCTCTTAAGTGGTTTTTATCTTTTTATAATTTTAAATTAAGTTAAAGAAATGAAAAAAAAAAAATTCAGCTGCCGACGAGGAAACCAAAATAATCACAACTTTAGGAGCAAACCCACTTCAGTTATCGCCCCTGTCTTTACGGATGTTTTCAGGCCATCGCTCACTGCCGCTATTTTTATGTTCTGTATCAATGGAGGGAGATAATTCTCGTATGTAGGTGTCTAAAAACTGGGTTTCCTTCCTTGGTTATGGAGATTATTTATAACGAGAAAAATGGCCCGTTGAGGAAGGATACACCGGGCGCTAGCTTGATAGTGCTGTCTCTTTTCTCTAAACTAAAACCAACCCACCCCCCCCCCACACACCACCCCCACCCCACCCCACCCCCACACACCACCCCCCACCCCCACCCCCCACCCCCCACACACACCACCCCCTCCACACACCGCACCCCCACACACACCACCCCCCCCCACCCCTCCACCCCCCCCCCCACCCCTCCACCCCCCCCCCCCCAAAAAAAAAACATGCCTACCGTCCCATTCAACGAAATATAATTATATACTTTTTCCAGTGTCCGCCCCTTCCCCGAAAATTCTACCCCCGCCCCCGAAAATTTCAAGTACCCCCACCCCTCTCTGGGGAGGAAAAAGTCTAAACTAAAACCACCCCACCCCCCACACACACCACCCCCCCCACCCCCCCCCCCCCACCCCCCCCCCCCCCCCCCAAAAAAAAAACATGTCTACCGTCCCATTCAACGAAATATAATTATATACTTTTTCCAGTGTCCGCCCCCTCCCCGAGGGGGGGGGGGGGGGCTCAGACGTTCTTACGCGGGGGGTGGGGCTTCGCCCCTACCCGAAGAATTGTATGCAAGAAACTCTTCACGCAAACCATTAAGATTAGACAACATTTCCTTTTTATTCAATGTTAACGCGAAAATCAATGACGTCATATAACTTTGAGCACTCTCTGGGTTTGAGATTATTTTCTACTCTGTGCGCTAAATGTGTCGACGTCATACTTCGTTTTTCGAAATACTATGCATGTTTTTATTTTCTTTGTGTTTTCTCTAGAGCGTACTTGTCAGATAGATAGATAGACAGACAGCGAAACTATTAGTATTAATAATTACACACACGCATATATATAAATAAATAAATAGGCCTATATATATATATATATATAAATAAATAAATAGGCCTATATATATATATATATATATATATATATATATATATATATATATATATATATATATATATATATATATATATATATATATATATATGCCTATACACGAATGCGATCATAATGGTATTTGGTTCCGCATTCCCCGGTTATTGAATCAGATCAATAGATTATTTCTAACTGCCAATTTTAAATTTTCCTTGTAATAAAATGTCACGCACATAGTTTGTTTAGTCACTAGTATCGCTCCTACTGTCATCTTTTGTTTTATTGGTCATCGCAATGGAGAATGAAATTAAAATAGCTCTACGCATACATACGCCTAGTCTTAGTTTAGACTTTTTGGATAGAATGGATAGAATAGGTGTGTTATACTGCTCGATACTATATGTTTACTTGTATTAAATTTTTAAATAGACCTTAATATTTTGGATGTAATTACGATATTTCACCCTACCAACCATTAAGTATTTTTGGTCAATATTTATAGAGGTTTTCATTTGCTCCGGTCCCAGTATGTTTACATGTGGCGGATATGCATTTTTTCCATCGATATCAAAGTATATTACAAGTACATTAGTAGATCTACAAGTGTTAAAACTAAACCATTTTCAAAACTAATTTAGGGTACATTTTTTTAATAAAAAAAATATGAGACTTAAATATGTAATCTAGCAAATAAACGTAAGTATTGTATTATTATTATAGTCTAAAGACTAAAGTCAGTAAAAGTAAAGTAAAGTTAGTCTGACTCTAAACTATTCTAAAACAAAAATTACTTAAATTTAAATTATAAATTGCTTTAAATTAGTTACTAGAGATCTAGTAGTTAAGTTAGTAGTAGTAGACTAGCAGAATTCACTAGAATCTAGATTAATCTAGCTAGAATGACTAGACTAGATGTCCACTAGAATAAAGTCACTAGATCTAGAATAGATGATCAGTTCAGTACTGAACTGAGAACTGACTACTGTCTACTGATCAGTACTGAGTGAGGAGTACTGAGTCTGAGTTATGTATGTGCTGAGGCCTGTTCACATTTATCATTTACTTACTAAGTTAATAATGATGGTTGATGGTACTACTTTTTACTACTGTACTACTTGTTTGTACTGAGGCAGACCTATTAATTTAATTTTTAAACTAGGCTCTGGCTTATGCCCTATTAATCTATTATACCTACTAAAAATTAGTAAAAAATTAATAACTAACTAGAATCTATAACTTTCTTTCATTTCTTCTTAAGTCACTTAACTTTAACTTAAGTATATTAATATTATTAACTAGCCTATTTACTAATAACTACTGTGGTACCATTTATTATTAATAAATAACTACTGACTAAAACAGGCCTAGAATAGGCTCAGGCCTTTTTATTTTTTTTACTTAGGCCTACTAGATCTAGATCTATCAGTTTCATTGTCAATGATTTTTTTTTTAAAATTGTGACTGTGACTATCTCAATACTTAATACAAAAGTTCAAATCATACAAATCTAATCATATCATTTTTACTTTTTATGCCTTAATTGTGCCTTGATGGGTCACTGAAGATATTGTTCTTTCTTCTTCTCCACATTTAATTATGAAACCTATTTTAATTTTCAACATTTGGCCTAATCCTGTTCATTAAATTTTTAGGAAAATGATTTTGACAGGAAAGAGATTCTAGTTAAAATTTCATCTATTCTGGTTGGTGTAACAATCTAACAATGTCGCAAAGTACAAAGATGAAAGGCAAGTCTCCCCTGAGGATAAAAATAATTAGCATGGGGAATGCTGAAGTTGGAAAGGTAAGTAATCTTATTTACCACAGAGTTTTCATCATGCTCTTTTGTTATTTAATGGTTTGATAATACAGCTAAACATAAGGTAGAGAAGAGAAATCTGCATTGTCTAGATACATCTATTTAAATAATAAACATCATAGCTGGAAAAATGAAATTTAATGAACAGGTGAAATTTTTATGTATAAGTGTAAGGCTAAGTAAAAATTCAAACATTGTTTCATTAGAAAGTTTAGTTTATCTGAAACAAAGCTACATCCCTGTATTTGAATGGAAGTTACATTGTGCACATATTGAAGGGCATATGCAGTTAATTGGAGTTGTATGTTAAAGATCCTCATATTGTACAATCATTTAATTGTCTTCAAAGTCAGCTGTCAAAGTTCATAATTTGCCAAGTAGAATAAAATTGTTTGATGTTTCTAGAGAAATGTTTACTTTAAAGATGTAAAAAAAATAATTTTAAATTCTACTATGCACCATTGATTTTAAAAATAGTTTTATTTTTTACTCTAGAGCTGCATCATTAAAAGATACTGCGAAAAGAGATTTGTCAATAAATATTTGGCCACAATTGGAATAGATTATGGTGTTACAAAGTAAGATTGCTTTGATTGGTTTTCTAATATGTTTTTAAGGCAAAAAAGTGTCAATCTATAACAATAATATGTTATTTCTTCTGTAGCCTATAACTTTACACATTTTAAAAAAGTTTAAAACAAAAATTTAGAAATTAGCTGTAAAAGCCTGTCTGTAAAAGTGTATTCATATAACTTACATTTGTTAATCACAAACTTCATATAAAATACCATTATATTTTTATCGTTTAGAATTTCTTTCAATTATTATCTTTTAGAATGCCTCTAAATTGTTATATTTTAGATTATGGCTAAATTAACTCTTGAAGTCTCTCTAATTTTTTTATTTTTTGTGAATATTAAATGCAACAACATTTTTATCACTTAGGGTCTCACTGAAGGACAGAGATATAAAAGTGAATATTTTTGACATGGCTGGACACCCCATTTTTTATGAGGTTAGTGTAAAAGTTTTAAAGTGTTTTCCTCCTGTTCCTGTGGACTTTCATAATTTTATTGGAATATGGTCATTATTTAGTAAGTCCATCATAGTACAGCATGATCTGGTGGTAGAGCATGACACTGTGATAGTGAAAGACTGAAGTTCGGCTCCTCGGTTTTAAGCATTTGGGCACTTGTGGTTTTACACAATCCTACTTAACTCTAGGGGTCGGAGTGGTCTAGACTGCTAACCCGTAAGTCTCGAGTTTGAATCCGGGTTCAAGTCAGTAGGCCGTCCTTGAGTCCACCCAACTCTGATGGGTAAATGGGTACCTAACTGAGGTCACAGAAACAAGTGAACTCTACTTCACTTTCCCTATAGACCATCAGGTTTGAAAAGGGAACTTTTTACTTTTTACTAATCTCTAGTTAGGTTAAAGTAAAGGTGGCTGGGCATAGTGAAAAGCAAACCATGTCTTTGTATACACCTGTCACCTGTAACCAAATGCAGTCAACACTATCTACCTTGGTGACCATTCTGTTGTTTGCTATTTGTTTATGTCCAATGTGAGTATATGGGGGCTGTGTGGTCAAGTGTTAGAGAGGGCAAGCACCTACCCAAAAATCTCAGGTTTGATTATAGGACTTGCCTTCTGACATGCTTGTGTCCACATAGCTCAGGTACATATTTGGCAAGTTAAGGATAGTAAAGGCAGCTAGGTATAAAACTGACAGTCATAAAAACAGGTAAACTCTACTTCACCTTCCAAGTATAGTCCATGATTCCACCAGCTGACTGGGAAGTAAAGTCTATTGAGCATAACAATGTCCACACCGTCCCTTCACATGCTCAGGTCACATAAACATATATACTCTATCTCCACTGCTCTATTGACTATACAATATGACAGTCTCTTTTTTAAACTGCACACAGTAACAAACACGTTGGACATAATTTATTCCATGAAATGTCCACTCTATGTTTTGTGAAGGTCCGGAATGAGTTTTATAAAGACACACAAGGTGCAATATTGGTGTATGACGTCAGCGACAAGGCCAGTTTCACGTCACTGGACTACTGGATGGAGGAGCTGACCAATGAGATTGGAAACAAATCCGAGCTGGACAGCATTGTGGTCTGTGTCTGTGGAAACAAGGTTGGTAGCTTTCATTAATTCAGTTAATTAATTATCAATTTGGATGTTTTGGATTAATTATCAATTTGAACTGCCCTTGAGTCCACCAAGCTCGGATGGGTACCTAACTCACGTTAAGGTAAGTAAAGGTGGCTGGGCATAGTGCTGACCACACTATCCCTTCATATCCCTTCATATGCAGGGATCACAGAAACATGTGAACTCTACTTCACTTGCCCCGTAGATGGTCAGGTTTGAAAGGGAACTTTACTTATTTGGATGTTCCTTTACATGTGTTTTAGTATTATTGTGTCATGGTACATTGTGGTTAAATAGTAGAGTTTAGTATTGTACACTGGATGGATGAGACAAAGAACAACCTAGTTAAGTATATCTGCCACTATTTAAATGAAACTCATTCTAAAAGGCTACTATGTGTACCTGGCTATTTGGTACAATATCACAGAACTCACTCAGTTCTACTGAGTATCTGGCATGTCTCTAGAAATTCACTGACCCACCCAGCTCTAAATGTTACCATTCTATGTCTCTAGAACTTGTATGAGTACATCCAGCTCTAATTGGTACCTGGCAAGTATTTATGAATCAACCCATTTCTGATTGGTACCCAGCAAAACTCATGATAAACTCAGGACTTAAGTGTCCTTTCAATCTCATTTATATGTTACATAAATTTTCACACTTTAACAAGATACATGCATGACATTAATTTTTTTAAATTAAATTTCGCTAGACTGACCTAAAGAGGCAAGTGGATGAATCAGAAGGACAGCTGTGGGCGGACGCCAGGGGCTTTCATTTCTTTGAGACATCAGCTTTAACAGGGGAGGGAATCAGTAATTTATTTCAGGTAAAAGGGACATCACCCACGGATATTTTTTTAATATACAAGTAATTAAAAGTGCTGAATCTGATACATTTGGTATTCCATTTATATCATTTACTGAATTATTTTCAACGAGCCGGCCCGCGGCATAACATACGCCGCTATTTAGTTGTTTCTAATTTTCAATAATTCATAATTTGTGAATTCGACAGTACCAACGCTGACACCGAAAATATTTCTTTAAAACACTATAAGTAGCTCGTTAAGGACCATAACCCCCCCCCCTTCCTTCCCCCCCCCCTCCCCCCCTACGTTTAAAATCGTTGGCTCTGCTTGTAAACATTTAGAGTGAACACAGCTCACTAAAACCATGTAGGGGTGGGGAGGTAGGGAGAGCGTTTGCAGCTTGTTTTCTAACGGCTCGAAGAAGAGAATTATATATATAGATTATTAGGTTTCTAAAAAAAAATATTTATAGCATGCATACTCTTATTTACAACACGAAAGTTTGCAACATAAATTACCTCAAAATCAGACGGTCTATAAAGTCTCAAGTTCCAACCCTCTGGCAAATAAGGCTCGATCCCTTCAAACTAAAAATTAAGAACAAAGAAGAAGAAGATGGTCTATTTAAGTATGGAAAATAAAACTTTTAAACAGAAATTTATAAAATAAAACACTCCCCCACTTTAAGAATGATTGAAGCATTCTCTGACAGAAATGATTGAAACAATGTTTTCTGAAAGCAAACATTGAAACATTGTTCTAGACAGTTTGGTTTTTCTTACCACAGGTTTTGTTTGAAGGAGTGGTTAGGACGTGTGAGAACGGAGGCCGACGTGAGCCAACCACAACACAGCTGGGGTACACCAAGGAGCAGATTGAGGCCATACAGAGGTTGAAAAATGCCAAGAATGATTACGAGAGGCTGGGTCTCATCCAAGGGGCGACAAAGTAAGTTATTCAACAAAATAAGTCAGTCAACAAAGTAAGTTGGTCAACAAAGTAAGTTTGTCAAGTAAGTTAGTCAACAGAGTTAGTCAAGAAAGTTAGTCAAGTAAGTTAGTCAAGAAAATAAGTTAGTCAACAGAGTTAGTCAAGAAAGCTAGTCAAGTAAGTTAGTCAAGAAAATAAGTTAGTCAACAGAGATAGTCAAGAAAGTTAGTCAACAAAGTAAGTTAGTCAACAAAGTAAGTGAATCAGCAAGGTAAATTTAAAACAACAATTAAAACAAACAACTGCATTAACTTACATTTAGAAACTTTAACCAACAAAACATCCCCCCCCCCCCCCTCCCCACCCCCTCAACCCACCCCACAGGGATGACGTCAACAGAGCCTACAGAAAACTGGCAGTTCTCCTCCACCCTGACAAGAGCGTTGCCCCCGGCAGCGAAGACGCCTTCAAGCTCCTGGTCTCAGCCCGGACTGCTCTGTTGAAAAGATGCTGATGTGCTCTCTTACTTCACAATGATGCTGCTGATGTTCTCTTTCTTCACAGTGATGTTGTGAGACCTGGGCTGCATTGGTCAGGCTTTACTACTTGGCTGTCTTTTTAGATTGGAATCAGATGACATTAGAGTTTTCTTGGGGATAAAGTGATTGTGATATTACGCTACGCAGCCAGATCAATATGTCGACCTGTCTGACACGTCTCTGCTTATGTATTTTATATATACACACACATATATATATACATGTCTATATATATATATATATATATATATATATATATATATATATATATATATATGTATGTATGTATAGACATGTAGGCCTATATGTGTATATATATATATATATATATATATATATATATATATATATATATATATATATATATATATATATAGACATGTATATATATGTGTGTGTATATATAATTCTTCCTCACCTATAAAAATGGAAGCAATCAAATCTTTTCCACCACTGGCTTAAATATATGTAGCTTCTCCAATGTGTGGGTGTTTCAGGTTCATGCTGTTGCATAATTATCTTAACCCGAGTCATTAAGCATTATCCCCCTTGAAATATTATTTTTACCCAACTGTTAGTTTAGAAGTGTGTTCAACTTGAGGATCAGTTAACCCTAAAAAGGCTGAATTTGTCTGTTGATTTAAATAGAGCATCAATGAAATGTGTACACGTTTAAACAAATCCTGCTGAAACCATAGGTGACTTAAGGTTCAATTAACCCTATAATCGCTGTTTGAATTGTAGGATAACTGTCTTTAGATCCACATGATATTTACTTATCTCTACAATGTGCTATTACAAAACATCACAATAGGTGGTATAAGGTTAATGGTTATTTCAGAACATGATAGTAAATTGATAAAGTAACTCATGGGATTGTGTATTTTCATATTGATGTTGTTTAAAATAATGTTTATATATTTTTAATGTATAATTTATTTATATTCTATTTTTATAAAATATTTTTTACCTTTGTTGATACTGTAGCAATCAAATATAGGTAAAGAGGTAATGTATTGATTTGATTTGTGATATAAGTAGAATTTTGTTAGAGTTTACAATATGAGGTGTGAAATTCTACTTTTTTTCTGTGAACATTGTATGTTAGCCAGGATTGCTATGTATGTGAGGTGTTCATTCCTATGTGAACAGATATTGCTGTAAGGATTGTATTGTATGTAAGGTGTTTTTCCTAATATGTGAACTCAATATTAGTATTACCATATATGCAATGTAAGGTGTTATTTCCTAGTTTAATGTCAGTTTTGCTGTAAGGATTTTTTATGTATTTTAATTTTTGTGTGAACACAGTATTACTGCAAGGACTGCTATGTGTGAGGTTCAGAGAGTTTCTTTCAGGTAATTACCCCCCCATCCCCCAAATGAAATAGAAAAAGTATATTTGACGTCCATATATTTTCTGAACACTGGTGATCTTAAAGTTGAGCACTGTTTAACAGAAGTAGCTCATATGTGATTTAAAATGTTTTATCTTTATGCTTATTGTGTTGATTTGCTCTTTTGACTGACATATACATTATACATATCAAAAAGATAAGTAATAGGTAACTGTCAAGGAACATATTATTGGACTCCCAGCATGATGTATCTCTATTGCTATTCCAAAAGTCTGGAGCTCAAATCACAGACCCCAGGCTTTAGAAAGCTCTGAGTCCACCCAGCTAAAATGGGTACCTGATTCACATTAGGCAATGTAAAGGCACCTGGGCATAGTGGTGACCACAACACCCCTATATATGCCATGGTAAAAAAACACATAAACTCTACTTCACTTACCTAATGGATAGCCAGGTCAGGAAGAGTGACTTTACTTTTTATTGATGATGAATCTCAAAAAACATCACATTAATTTCATGCCTAATTGTTGGTTTAAGACTGTGTGTGTTTATCATATTTTTAAACTCGCATCAAATGAACTTTGTTTAATACACATATTTCCTGTAATTACTGTAAGATATAATTATGGACATATTTACATGTATCATGATATAGGGCCTGTACAGTGGCGGAACTAGAAAAAATGGGCCACCCCGCAAAAAATTTTTTGGGCCTCCCCCCATATATATATATATATATATATATATATATATATATATATATATATATATATATATATATATATATATATATATATATATATATATATATATATATAAACACACAATACGAACATAGGATACTCATTTCTAGCCTGACCGGGTTCAGAAAAAAGAAATTCAATTAAATCTTATCACAACAACATGTCATGTGTATGAGTGCATTGGTCTGTTTTGAAAATCTGTTTTCATTTATGTTTGCCTTAATACTGCTAATCATTAAGTCGGTCAAAAGTATATAAATCATGAAGCTTTGTATAAGTAATGGTGTCTCGTGTTATGTTTATTTTTATGTTTTTTTGTATGTATATTATTAATTTTAACTACACTTCATTTTTAAACTATACCATTGTTTAGTACTTTTTAAAAAATAATAATTAAGATAAGTAATTGTTATTTAATTTAATTATTACAAATCTATTAAAAGGAGCTTATGAGCAGCCCTATTTGACTATCTGAAAAAGGGAAATAATTTATTGAAGTGGTTTGAACGTTTGCCTATCTTTCACACTACAGCTTATGTGTATATTTTTAAAAAAATAATTATGCAACAGCATGTCTTAGCTACTATATAACATCACTAATGTATTAGATCTGTTTGTTGATTACAAAACCACTATCAAGGTGCCAGTGACGAAACTTATATATATATATATATATATATATATATATATATATATATATATATATATATATATATATATATATATATAACACTATCATTCGTGTATTTTTTTGAGACGTTTGCCTTGTTTTCTAGAACAGTGGTTATTAAATGTAAAAAATATCGGCACTTTATTTCTTGGATATTAGTTGTTGGAGCGCTATTTTGTCAACACTACCACCGATTCGAGTCAGCTTAGTTGTTGAGGCGCTATCTATTCGCTTCTTGTAAGGCTAAGAGCGGGAGGGGAGGTCTGAGAAAGGAACTTAAAAGGGACAACAAAGCGCCGATGTGCTTTTATCCATCAGTACCAAATTTGGGATGGTCTCAAAAAGCCGTCTTAATATCTAGCGGCCTCTCGCGCATTTTGATGTTTTTTCAAAATAATTTTGCTAACAACAGCGTGTTTGATTGTAGGAAAAAGAATATACAAGAACGTGGGATGGTGTCTATAGAATAAAGATACTCCAACCGCAGCTACAGTATTATTCTTTTTTTCAAAACAACTAGATCTATCAGGTCAAAAATGCAAGAAAATTAATTTTAACTATAAAAAAAATGATTATGGGCGGCTGTAGTTCCGCCCCTGGATCATTGTGTCCTAAATTTGATTAACTTTAATAATGTATTTAGTGTTAATATAACTAATGTTCAATTAATACGTGTACTAATTATAAAACGATTAATAATATAAAGACGAGTCTTACCTTCCTTGTTTGAATTAGATTCGTCAAACAAAATACTTCATCAGGTAAATGAACAACTACTGACTAGTGACTAGATCTAGTGTCTTTAACAAAATGTGCAGAAGTGGACAGTTTACAATTCAGTTGTTCATAAATGGTTCGTTAATCTATGCATTACATCTTATTGTAAGAGTAAGGGTGTGGTGAGGGGTAGAGGTGAGGGGGGGGGGATGAGGGGGAGGGGAGAGAGTTGGGAAGGTTCAAGGGAAGGGGACAAGAAAGCGCCGATGAACATCTACATCAATAGTGCCGACTTTTCCGGTCGTCTAGAAGACCAGGATAGTCGCCGCAACATTTCCCCAGCCCGATTTCAAAGCGTACCGGCACAGACAAACTTCAGACGCATCGCTAAAGGGAGATAACTTAAACTTTTACAAATTTATTGATACAGTTGTTAAATTGAAAATGAACGCAATTATAAATGTATGAGATCGAAATAAATAATTATATTTTTTTAGAATTCAGGCCAGTAGTTTAAACACGCAATCATAGATATGTATTTTAATAATGTAAACAATATGACGATGCTTTTTTGTTCTCCTAATCGACGTCACTAAAAAGAACGGTAGGCTACGTCTTTGAAGTTGTCTATATGTCTGGCGGTCTCTCGAGCTATAGTCTGTGCATTTTTTCTCAAAGACGTTTGCCGACTATCATGTTTGTTTGTAACTGTAGAAGAAAGATAACTCGAACTCCAACTAATTTTTTTTTTTTTTTTTAATTTAATTTTTTTTTTAATTTTTTTTTTTTACATTTTTTTTTAATTTTTTTTTTTTAAATAATTTAGCCAGGATTTTTGGGCCCCCAATCGGTCTGGGCCCCCCCGCATTGCGGGGTCTGGCGGCACTGTAGTTCCGCCCCTGGGCCTGTATATACATATATGTATATATTAGTATATATATATATATATATATATATATATATATATATATATGGCCCTATATTTAAAGTTTGGTTGAGCCTAATGAGTTAAATGTAATTGTCTTAGAATAAATGGCTATTTAATTTTCTGTTGAGTCTTTTTTTAATGGCAGTTAGTTAATTTCACTGTTTTGCTGCAACTCATGACACATTAGGTGGTCACTATCCAATTAATTAGCTTGATCAATTATTGCCACACAAAATATTTATTGCATTTGCTGCATGTTTGATGTAGTTTCCTGAATCTTTGACGGTGATTTTTAAAGCCTTGACTGCGTCTGAGCTATTTTATTTCTGCAGCCACTAACCTAAGCTTTTATATGGGGTAGCACTTTTTTTTTTAAAACTATTTTACCACACCTTCCAATCTGAACAACACAACCTCCCCCATACACACACACGCACACAGAAATGACGTCACTAAATATTCTACTATCACATCAAAATTGTAATTTTAAGTTTTTAACAGCGAAACCTGACTAAAATTATTTATCACGCTCGGGTAGAAATGCCTCCATCACAATTAACTTATAATTAAGTTTCGCGAGTCAACTCCGATTTCAACCTGATTTATTTTTGGATTTGCTTCCGCTGTTTAACCAAGAACAAACTACAAGGCAGCAGTTATTTGATTTTGAAGTTGTCTCTCCTAGATTGGTTGCTGCACCGGGTTCGAACTCGGGCCTCTTCGGTTTACCGTCCCGATCACGCCGACCCACAGGATTTCTTTATTAATTAGAAATTTTCTTTTTGAAATGTACAAAATTTCATCTTAAAAAACGCGAATTAACAGCAAAATTTCAGTTTCTGGCATTGCTTTTTCAAAATGCAAAAATATATAATCACGCTTTCTGAACCTGTATTTCTCTATAGAAGTGACGCTAAGTTAAAAGTTCGCCCTGGGCGCTAGTATGGGTCGTCACGCCCCTTGTAAACAAATAAACGTAATTAGAATGTCTACTAAATGAGCTAACTAATTAGTATTTCATGTAAACTTGTCCTCGGATTGTTGAAATCCTGTGTTGACGTCACTGACGATCCTACTCACCGTTGTTTGAATGGGGATCGATACCCAGCAACATGGAATCGACGCCAGCAACATAGAATCGATGCCAGCAACATGGAATCGATACTATGCAAACTTTAAAATCAGTAACTGGGGATGTGTTTGCTTCAGTGAGCAGCTCACCACGGTATTATTTCTTGAAGTCAACGTACGTCTATTGTTCATTTTTATGACTGCATTTTATTTTAATTGCTTTAATGAGTTAACTACTATTATTGCTAATATACTTGCATGTTAATAACGGGTTTACTTAATCACTAATTGTAACTAGGTTATAAAAAAATCCCTACAAATTACTAGTAGGATTATTTTACCTACTAATTGCTGATTTATGTTAAGATATTTTGTATTGAAAGCTACTAGTTTATTCTACCTAATGATTGCAAGTATAATTTCTGGTATTCTTTACCTACATATTGTTGCTCGTAGAACTTACTTTTGAATTGACAGTGTACATTACGTTCTATTTGCTAGAAAATTTTGTTTTTAGTTGTCAAAATTTGAGAAACGAGTAACCGGATTAGCGGATTTAACAGTTCGTAAAAAAGAACACCTTAAAAAGTTCCAACTGATTGTGCATAATAGCTATTTTATGACACCAAGAAAACTCGTTCCCGAAACATTCTGAGAGGAAGGAAAAATCAAACGAACTTGCAGTTGGAAACGTATTGAAAGTGGGAAAAGTGTGGGGACAAAAGTAAAACCAGGAAAAGGAAAAATAGTGACGAAAATTAAGGAAAGTAATAAAACATTATATTGATATAGTAGCATAAAAATTCAATTATGTTCAGTGAAGCTTAAGTTCCGTTAAGTTTCGAGATAAAGTGTAGCGCTAAGGGTGGAACGAGCAAGTAAATTAAAAAGATCCAAAGATCTCAGCTTTAATAGTGAAGCTCCCTCGACTATCTCCCCCCCCCCTGATTGGGACTACACATCCACCAACATCTTCTGAAACCTCAAGTCGACTTATTCTTTGAAGTAAATTCATTTTATAAAACCAGTTTATTTCTTTTAGGTAAATACATTATATAAAACCAGTTTTTTTCTTAAAGTTAAATATATTTTATAAAACCAGTTTATTTCTTTAAGGTAAATACATTTAATAAAGCCAGTTTATTTCTTTAAGTTAAATAAATTTTATAAAACCGGTTTATTTCTTTAAGTTAAATACATTTTAATAAAACTAGTTTATTTTTTAAGGTAAATACATTTTAATAAAACCACTTTATTTTTTTTAAATTAATACATTTTAATAAAATCAGTTAATTTTTTAAAATGTAAATACATTTTATAAAAACCAGTTTATTTCTTTAAGGTAAATACATTTTATAAACCTGATTATTTATTTGAGGTAAATACATTTTAATAAAACCAGTTTATTACTTTAAGGTAAATACATTTTATAAAAGCAGTTTATTTATTTAAGGTAAAAACAATTTAAAAAAACCAGTTTATTTCTTTAAGGTAAATACAATTTATAAAACCATTTTATTTCCTTAAAGTAAATACATTTTATAAAACCACTTTATTTATTTGAGGTAAATACATTTTATAAAACCAGTTTATTTTTAAGAGGTAAATACATTTTATAAAACCAGTTTATTTTTTTAAGGTAAATACATTTTAATAAAACCAGTTTGTTACTTTAAGGTAAATACATTTTAATAAAACTAGTCTATTTTTTAAGGTAAATACATTTTCTTAAAACCAGTTTATTTTTTCAAAGCAATAGTATTTTAAAAAACCAGTTTACTTCTTTAAGGTAAATACATTTTTTAAACCAGATTATTCATTTGAGGTAAATACATTTTAAAAACCAGTTTATTTCTTTAAGGTAAATACATTTTATGAAATCAGTTTATTTTTTAAAGTAAATATATTTTATAAAACCAGTTTATTTTTTCAAGGTAAATACTTTTGAATAAAACCAGTTTATTTCATTGTATAATTGTTTATTAACATTATAAAACATTAAACAATATTTTTTATGTAAAAATATACTACTCTAATGAAAACAAAATTGATTTCTATAAGGACGATTTATATTCAATACTAAACAGCAAATCTATACAGCAAAATCTTCCATTAGAGATTAAAAAGTCGAGTTTTCCCATTCAATGCTAAAAACGCGTCGTTTATTTATTTATTTTTTTTCAATACTAAAATGACAACCTTTAGTATTCGTTAAAAAAACGTCGATTTTTTCTAAAATCGATACTAAAACGGCAACGTTTTCTATTTTTCAATCGATGCGGTTACTTGATCTATTGATACCAAATCTCCAGGTTCAAAGGTCACGACATGAAGCTTGACGTGCTGAACCTTGTCCTAACGCTCGCGCTCGCCACGTGCGTCCAAGGCCAGATGTACTCACAGGCGCTGGCCATACAAAAGGACAAACTCAACAGTGACGTGTACAGTACCGAGCTCCGTCCCCTCAGGAACCAGTCCAACACCATGTTCGTCCAAATCGCCTTTCAGATCGTCTCCATCGCCCAGGTGGACGACGTGTCGCAGAGTTTTACCTGTAACGGTTTCATTTATTCCTCGTGGGTCGACCAGGTGAATATTTCATAAAAGTAAACATTTTATTTTGGTAAACATTTCTATCCGTGTAAACATATAATTTTAGGTAAATATTTAATTCAGGTAATTATTTAGACAAGGTGAACATTTCATGCAGGTAAACATTTAATTCAGGTAAACATTTAATGCCCATGCAGGTAAACATTTGATTCAGGTAAACACAGGTTAACATTTCACTTTAGGTAATTATTTAATTCAGGTAAACATTTCACTTCAGTAAAAAAAAGAAACTCATTCATGCAAACATTTCATTCGGGTAAATATTTCATTTGGTAAGCTTTTCATTCAGGTTATTATATTCAGGTAAAGTTTTTCAAATCAAAGCGTTTTATTTTTATTCAGGCAAACATTATGGTTTAGGTCAAAACTTTATTCAGCCAAACATTTCAGTAAGGTAAAGATATTTAGGCAAAATTTGAATGAGGTCAAAAATTTTATTCAGGTAAGCATTTCATTCTGATAATAAAGAGAGGTTTGCAAACATTAAGGGGGCAGTATCACCCAGACATTTGAAAATTGAAGAAAAAATTTGCCAAAAAAAAAAACTATTGTACATGCACACATAAATTTTTTACCATTTATCAAGGAGCTATATAACAGCACATAAAAGAAAGTTAACGTATGATGCAAACATTTTTTTTTTATATTTTAACCAAAAATTTTTTACTAAGTAATTTTTGGCTGCGGTTTTTCAACATTTAGGCCTTTCCTGCTGAAACTACTATTGGAGATGCATGACAGGGTAGCCTATCGCTGTAACTAGAAGATATCTATTGTGACAAATTTCGAAATTTTTAGAGTTTATCAGTTAGGCCAGGGGTCGGCAACCTTTTGAAGCGAAAGAGCCGAAAGTTAAAATTTTCAAAATTTCCCTGGTGTTAAAGAGCCACTAACAATGTTTTATTTCAAGTATTTTATTTTTTTATTAAGATTATTAGTATTTGTGCAAGGAGCTGGAGAGCCGCATCTTGACATCAAGAGAGCCGCATGCGGCTCGCGAGCCGCAGGTTGCCGACCCCTGAGTTAGGCCAAAAAAATTGAACTTAGAAATTTTCTTAAATATGTATCCCTTATTAGAATATGTTATCTTAGAATCAGCGATAACCTATAACGCACGGAAGGTTTATACCAAACTTTAAGTACTTTACTTATGGTTTTGGAAAATTGTTTACAAAAAAATTTAAAATGTAATAAAATATTAACAAAATATTTTTTTGAAAATATGTTGCCATACATATACCATACAATTTATATACTGTATTATAGCAGACAATTAGTTACTACTGCTGTAAAATTTTGACAATGTGTATGTCAAATAGTTTTTGTTTTAGTGAATATTTTTGTTTCCCTCCCTTAGTCTGGGTAATACTGCCCTCTTAAAAACGTCTAATCAACCACGTTTCCTGTGACTCCATCAGACTTTTCCTTTTTTATCCGGCGTATTGAAATACCTGGTTTAAATACCTGGTCAAGTAGGTGGAGCCAGTAGAGGGTGTGGTCATGTAGGAGTCAGCAGAATGTGTGGTCAAGTAGGTGGAGTCAGTAGAGAGTGTGGTCAAGTAGGTGGAGTCAGTAGATGGTGTGGTCAAGTAGGTGGAGTCAGTAGAGTGTCGTCAAGTAGGTGGAGTCAGCAGAGGGTGTGGTCAAGCAGGTTGAGTCAGTAGAGGGTGTGGTTAAGTAGGTGGAGTCAGTAGAAGGTGTGGTCAAGTAGGTGGAGTCAGTAGAAGGTGTGGTCAAGTAGGTGGAGTCAGTAGAGGGTGTGGTCAAGTAGGTGGAGTCAGTAGAGGGTGTGGTCAAGTAGGTGGAGTCAGTAGATGGTGTGGTCAAGTAGGTGGAGTCAGTAGATGGTGTGGTCAAGTAGGTGGAGTCAGTAGAGGGTCGTCAAGTAGGTGGAGTCAGCTGAGGGTGTGGTCTAGTAGGAGGAGTTAGTAGAGGGTGTGGTCAAGAAGGTGGGGTCATTAGAAGGTGTGGTCAAGTAGTTGGGTCGGGGAGAGGAAGACGTATAGAATCGAGCCAGGGTGGCATTGCATTCGCGACTATCTCTCTTTAGACACCCACCATCCTCTACAAGCTACAAACAAGTGTAGTAAGAACAGCTGTATTTTACATATTTTAATTTACTCCCTGAAATTATGTGTGTGTATGTATGTGCATGAGTGTTTGTCTTTTACAACCACAAAACATTGGTCAAAACTCAGTTTGCCACAACACGTTAACAAACGAAAAAGTGTGGCGTCACATTTTTTTCTAAACCACATTCTCCCTCGTCACAAAGTCCTAACCTCCCCCCCCCTCTACCTTGTAGTGTGAGGTCCTTCATGTATGACCCCCATGGTATTGCAGATGGTGGCGTGGAACCCAGCTGACTACGGGGGTCACGTGATGATCCACCCCCTGCCCGAGGACATCTGGCGACCCCGGGTCGTCCTGGTCAACACTCTGGGGGAGCGAGACTTGTTTGATGATGATAAAGCGTAATGAATTTTCTCTTTTGTTGCATTTCACCTTCAAGTAGTTTGTGAACTTCTCTTCTTCTTCAAAGTCATGTTAACATTATTCTCCTCAGCCATATGCTAACATTATTCACTATCTAGCTCTGTTAACATTATTCTCTATCTAGCTCTATATTAACATTATTCTATCACTAGCCCTATGTTAACATTATTCTCTCTCTAGCCCTATGCTAACATTATTTTCTTTCTAGCTCTGTTCTTTCTAGCCCTATGTTAACATTATTCTCTCTATAACCCTACGTTAACAGTATTCTATCTAGATCTATCTTAACATTATTCTCTCTTTTGTTCTATGTTAACATCACTCTCTCCAGCCCTATGTTAACATTATTCCCTCTATAACCCTATGTTAACATTCTCTATCTAGATCTATTTTAACATTATTCTCTCTCTTGTTCTATGTTAACATCACTCTCTCTAGCCCTATGTTAACATTCTTCTCTCTCTAGCCATAAGTTAACATTTCTGTCTAGCCCTATGTTAACATTCTTCTCTCTCTAGCCATAAGTTAACATTTCTGTCTAGCCCTATGTTAACATTCTTCTCTCTCTAGCCATAAGTTAACATTTCTGTCTAGCCCTATGTTAACATTCTTCTCTCTCTAGTCATATGTTAACATTTAACTCTCTAGCCCTATGTTTGTGTTCTATGACGGATTGACCTATTGGGTGCCAGGAGGTCTATTCCCAGCATCCTGTGCTCTAGACATGACCAACTATCCTTTCGATAAACAGAAATGTTCTTTACAGGTGAGTGGGGGTAAGGTGGGTTTTTTACTTTCTCGTATATACGAAGTATAGAGAAAGTCTTGTAATCGAGCAAAAAAAAAGATTTTTGCAAACCTCGACGTTTTACACTTCCCTGAGTCGGAAAAACATAGTTTTGCAATCTTGTCCGTATGTCTGTGTGCATGAGTGTGTGTGTCTGTAAACACGATAACTTGAGTACCGTTACAGCTAGGTTGATGAAATTTCATATATAAGTATTATATCAAGTTTTTAGATCCGTATAAACTTTTAAGCGATTTCCAATAACCGGAAGTGGAATTTTTTCTACTTTGAATTTTTCAAAAGCCTATAACTTGAGTACTATTTCAGATAGATGAATGAAATTTCACATGTAAGTAAAATATATAATTACCTGCCTTCTACCAAATTTTGAGTGATTTCCGTTGACCGGAATAAATGTAGTAATTTAGGCTATTTCCGATTCCTCAAAAAACGCATGTGAATTTATAAAGTACTAATAATATTCCTCACTATTGTTCACATTTTGTTTGGCGCTCACTTGGTGTGCAATTCTTTTTTTTTCTATGAGGCTCTATTCTATTTTAAAAAGTTTAAGTATTTAAAATGGATTAAAAAATCATGTCTATATCCCGAGTTGCCATCCCCTGTTGTTTTATATAAGATTATTTGAGAAAGTTTAGGGGAGATCACTCCCGGTTTATTTTATGTTAGTAGGTGAATATGTGGTAATGAACTGAGTTTATATTTAACACTGACAGCTGGTAATGAACTGAGAACTTTTTTTTATCATTGACAGCTGGTAAAGAACTGACATTTCGACAGCTGGTAATGAACTGACATCTTGAAAGCTGGTAATGAACTGACATCTTGTTTATCATTGACAGCTGGTCGCCATGACGTTGACCATACAGGAGATGTTGTTTGTGGCGAGGGACAGTAAAGCGATGACCACATTCTACACGGCCAACGGCGAGTGGGAGCTGGTGGACTCTAGTGTCAGCGTGTTTAACCTCAGCACCTATGAGAACATAGCTCTCTCGGCCATCAATGTAAGGTTAATCCTAACCCTAACCCATTGGGCTGAATATGGCTCTCTTGACCATCAATGTAAGACTAACACTAACCCTTAACCTAAGCCTTATTCTAACCCTTACCCGTTTTCTAACAGGCGAGAACATGGCTCTCTTGACCATCAATGTAAGGTTAATCCTAACCCTAACCCACAGGCCAGAATATGGCTCTCTTGACCATCAATGTAAGACTAACACTAACCCTTAACATAGACTTATTCTAACCCTTACCTGTTTTCTAACAGGCGAGAACATGGCTCTCTTGACCATCAATGTAAAGTTAATCCTAACCCTAACCCACAGGCCAGGATATGGCTCTCTTGACCATCAATGTAAGCCTTACACTTAGCCTAGCCCACAGGCGAAAAGATGGCACAAGCTTAACCCCTATCCTTAACCAAATCCTTATTCATTACCCTAACCCTTACCGATATACTTACCCCGACCCTTTTCCTAGCAGGCGAGAATATAGCTATCTCAGCAGTCAATGTAATCCTAACCCCTGCCTTAACCTATAGGCTAGAAAAGAACTTTCTCAGCCAGTATAGTGTAGCATGTACTAATTCTCCCTCTGAGGTTTTCTATCAAAACTAGTCTTTCTGACCTATCAAAGCTAGTCTAGCTGATCTATCAAACCTAGTCTAGCTGATCTATTAAAGCAGTCTTTCTAACCTTTCAAAGCTAGTCTAGCTGATCTATCAAAGCAGTCTTTCTAACATATTAAAGCTAGTCTAGCTTATCTATCAAAGCTAGTCTAGCTAATCTATCAAGGCTAGTCTTGCTAATCTATCAAAACTAGACTTGCTCAGGGGCGTAGCGAGGGGGGGGGGGCGGGGGTGCGGACCGAACCTGGTGACACCATTTAGGGGGGGGGGGGGGTGACACCAAGGCAAAAAATAGCAAAATATATGGAGAAAAACTTGAGGGGGGGGGTGCAAATCGAAAACTTGAAAGTTTGTCCCCGAGAAGGGTCGCAACGCCTCTGGGGGGGGGGGGGGGGGGGACACACCATTAAGTGCCGCGTGACACCCGACCTCGCTACGCCACTGGACTAGCTGATCTATCTTAGCAGTCTATAAGGGTTCTACCAAAGCTAGTATCTAACCTCAATATCCCCCCCTCTCTATCCCCTACAGATCGAGTTCAGCATCAAGCGACGTCCTCTATTCCTGATATTCAACGTCGTCCTACCCGTCGTCTTCCTCTCTTTCCTCAACATCCTCGTCTTCGTCATCCCGGTGGAGTCGGGCGAGAAGATTGCCTATGGTGAATGTTATCACGTGACTTTTATCTGTGGCTGTCTGTCTGGGCCATATAAACGTACATATTCACACATACTCACACGTACTCACACATGCATAAACACGGCCATATACACTCATACTCACGGACACATACACATTAACGTATTTCATACACATACACACACTCTTATAGGCATGCATACAAACTCATACGCACATATGCACACATACCCTCACACAAATATCCACACTTATAGATACACACATACATTCACAAAAATATATTCACACACCTACACTTCACACACATACACATATGCACAGATACACACATCCTAACCTAACGACCTAACTCTAACGAACAAAGACTAACCAGCTAATCCTATTTTAACCAACTAACCCTTTCCTACCCAGCTAACCCTATCCTAAACAACTAACCTTATCCTAAACAACTAACCCTTTTTTATCCAACTAACCATATCCTAATCAACTAACCCTATCCTAATCAACCAACTATATCGTAACCAGTTAACAATATCCTAACAAGCTTACCATATTCTAACCAGCTAACACTATCCTAACAAGCTATAAAACCTATCTCACCCAACTCACCCTAACCAAGTGACCTTAACAAACGTACCCTAACCAACTAAACCTAACATGCTAACCCTAACTGAAAAAAAACCCACAGCTAATTAACCCTAACTTATCAATTCAACTCATCACTTACAGGAATAACCGTCCTTCTGGCACTGTCAGTGTTTATGAGTATAGTCAGTGCCATGCTGCCCAGGTCATCGACCATGCCCCGAGTGACCGTCTACCTCTTTATTCTGCTGACCATTTCTGTCCTCACTGTCGTCGACAGTATCTTCATCGTTTACATCTATCACATGGAGGAGGTGGGTCCTTTGTTTTGTACATGAGTCAGTAGAGTAGTGGTCAAGTGGGAGTCAGTAGAGGGTGTGGTCAAGTGGAAGTCATTAGAAGGTGTGGTCAAGTAGGAGTCAGTAGAGGGTGTGGTCAAGTAGGTGGAGTCAGTAGAGGGTGTGGTCAAGTGGGTGGAGTCAGTAGAGGGTGTGGTCAAGTAGGAGTCAGCAGAAGGTGTAATCAAGTAGGTGTAGTCAGTAGAGGGTGTGGTCAAGTAGGTGTAGTCAGTAGAGGGTGTGGTCAAGTAGGTGTATTCAGTAGAGGGTATGGTCAAGTAGGTGGAGTCAGTAGAGGGCATGGTCAAGTAGGTGGAGTCAGTAGAGGGCATGGTCAAGTAGGTGGAGTCAGTAGAGGGCATGGCCAAGTAGGAGTCAGCAGAAGGTGTAGTCAAGTATGAGTCAGTAGAGGGTGTGGTCAAGTAGGTGGAGTCAATAGAGGGTGTGGTCAAGTAGGTGGAGTCAGTAGAGGGTGTGGTCAAGTAGGTGGAGTCAGTAGAGGGTGTGGTCAAGTAGGTGGAGTCAATAGAGGGTGTGGTCAAGTAGGTGGAGTCAGTAGAGAGTGTGGTCAAGTAGGTCTAGCTAGTTTAGGGTGTGGTCAAGCAGGTGGAGTCAGTACAGTAGTGGTCAAGTTGAAGTCATTAGAAAGTGTGGTCAAGGAGTTAGTAGACGGAAGAGTAATTTCTTTTGCGAGAAATTGCTAATATTTACAATCATTCCATTGTATGTTATTTAATTATCATTTAAAATACTAATTTTTATTTCCCAAACGGCAGTTTTAAAAATAAATTTGATTTTGAAAACAGAAAGAAGAAAATCTCCAAAAGGCCAAAGAAAAATTTCAAAAAGCGTTCACCAAAGTTCAACATTTCCACTCGACGGTAACGCCGGCAGAAACCATGGCAACCAAAACATCACAGAAAAAAGCCCCTGATACTACTACACCCGAGTCACGCAACATTGAGAGTGACACAAGCAACCCACCAATCAACCGCTACAAAAAAATAGGGAAACACATTGACCTGGTGTCCTTTATAGTTTTTTTCTTCGTCTGGCTGGGCGTAACGGTGGTCTACATGAGTCTTATTGCTACGTCATAGGTTGACGTCATATTGGTGCGTCATAGTTACGCTATAGGTTGTCTTCACAATGGTCTAGATAAATCTTATTGTTTCATCAAAGTTTTTCGTCACAATTGGTGCCATTGCTACGTCATAGGCTATCGTCACAATGGTCTACATGAGTCTTATTGCTACGTCATAGTTTGTCATGACATTTGCAAAGTCATACGTTGCCGTCACAGTGGTCCACACTGGTCTTATTCTTAGGTCCAAGGTCGTCGTAAAAGGACGTCCTTTTATCCAATCACAACTCTTGCTACGATTTGTTTGTTTTTTTTGGCACTTTTGTTAATATTATTGAAACTGTACAAACTAGAAAATTGTCTTTGAACAATACAATTCAATACATTGTAAATAAAACTTTAAACTCATTTGCTGCTCTTTCTGAGTTTCTACAGATGCTACAAATAGTGTCATTTTATTATAAGAGTCTTCCGTAAAATCAAGTTAACCTTTTGAAACAATCTTGACACCCACTACTCATTGTTACATATTGACACAAAACGCAAGACACTCCCCCTTAAAATGGCATCAGACTTTGGCTTACCACCTTACCCACACACCCTCAAAGTTGTAATCTTTGTTGTTGTTTTTACATTGTTTTCTTTGTAAAATATTGAGTGAGCTAGGTAACATTTTTTTTTTATTATTTTGACTGTTTATAAACAAGAAAAAACCCAAATAACACCTAAAAATCTCATTTTCAAAAATTATTTCTTGAACTGCAAAAGTGGGTCCTCACACTTTCTGGACATTATCCCCCTTATTACACCTCGTCACAAAAATCAGTGACACCCTGCAGAGGCGTAGCGAGGGGGGGGGGGGGGGGGGGGGGCGGGGGGGGGGACAAATGTCCCCGGGCGACGACCTTAGGGGGGGGGGGGGGCGCCAAAATGGGTTTAAAAAAATTGAAAGTTTGAGGGTGAGGGGTGGGGTGCAAATGAAAAGTTCGAGGGGAGGGGGGTGAAAATCGAAAGTTTGTCCCCGGGCGCCGGGAAGGGTTGCTACGCCTCTGACGCCCTGTGACCTGTGAGAAATTTAAACGCTTGCCACGCGTGAAGTACTTTTCTCTGTCCATATCTTAAGAGTAAATCAACCACACATCTTTTAACACACACCCATACACATATGTACACATACACTCAAAACATAAGCTTTACTTACAACTACAACTATCCTACCCTACCCTGATTTAACTGCTACAGCTACTGCTACTGCTAATGCTAATGCTAATGCTACTGCTACTGCTACTGCTACTGCTACTGCTACTGCTACTGCTACTGCTACTGCTACTGCTACTGCTACTGCTACTGCTACTGCTACTGCTACTGCTACTGCTACTGCTACTGCTACTCTACTGCTACTGCTACTGCTACTGCTACTGCTACTGCTACTGCTACTGCTCCTGCTGCTACTGCTACTGCTACTGCTACTGCTACTCTACTGCTACTACTACTACAAGTTCAACCGTTTCATTTACATATACACGTACACTTAAAGACACGTTTCGTGTTAAATATTTACATAGATATCAATTTCCCCCAACTTTTTCATCACTTCCGTGTTACATTTATAGTAAGACCGACGGGCACTGAACAACCAAGTGTCAATATGTTCCTACTGACTAAATCTAAATGTTTGAGGGAAAAAACGATTCAGTCCAAACTCTAAGTAGGCTATAGATTTCCATTATCTCAAGCAACTGCAGAAGTGTAGTTATGGTGTGAGAGTTTTCAAATATTGAATCATCAGCGGACGTAACAGAAGAGAATTCAATAAGTTTATATCTAGTAAACTCGGTCAATATCTTATGGGGTTTGAACCGCTTTATAAAACGTTCATCCTAACACGTACATGTGTAAACGTTAAACCTAACGCACAGAAGACAAAACAAAAACAATCTTGAAAAACAGGTTTGATACAATACTAAATCAAGCAAGTTGGGAGTCAAAAGATATAAATTATCTCTGGTTAAACTTTTGAAAATTGTAACTAAAAATGTAATAGGCTTGTAAGTCTCGGTCTCTCTCGCTTAACAACCGCCTAGGCCAGGGGTTCCCAACCCCGTGCCCGCGGGCGCCATGGCGCCCGCCGAACGATTCATATGTGCCCGCCTCTCACTATTCGACAGAGACAGAATTTTTTTCATAAACATTTTTGATAGGTTGAAGGGGATGGAAATCGAAATGTTGAGGGGGGAGGGTGCAAATCGAAAGTTTGAGGGGGGGGGGGTGCAAATCGAAAGTTTTGTCCCCGGGTGACGGGAAGGGCCGCTACGCCTCTGGAAGGAGTTTGTCGATTTAAAATAGGTGGTGCCCGCCACCCTACCGATATTTTAGAATGTGCTCTAGAGTAAAAAAAAAGGTTGGGAACCCCTGGCCTAGGCTATTAATATTTATACTAAAATCGGTGACTTCGTTTAGGGTAACTTGTTACGGATTAGAATAAATAACTAGATTACCCGTTATCCTTGGATAACTGTGGGTCTTGGGGGGTCATCCATAAATAAAATCACGTCTTTCACTTATCGTCACAATAAAGACCCCCACATTCAAAAAGACGTCATACCTCAGACTTTTTTGTCTTTTAAAAACAACTATTTCTGCTAAGCAGACTATCCCTTCCAATGCTGAGGTCACAATAACAGGCCAACTCTACTTCACCTGTCCAGTGTCCCGCCAACTCAGATATGTTTTTGTCTTTTAAAACACCGATTTCGGCTGAGCATGGATCTGACCACACTATCCATTCATATGCTGACGTCACAAGTGAACTCTACACCCACCCAACTCTACTTCACCTGCCCAAAGTCGGCACCCCGTCAAAAGAGCGCACGACAAAAGAGCGCCGACATAAGAGTGCAGACAAAAGAGCGCAGACAAAAGAGCGCATGTATCTTATAGATGCATATTTCAGTGGCGTAGCGAGGTCGGGTGTCACCCGGTGCGGCACTTAATAGTGTCACCCCCCTCAGAGGCGTAGCGATTCTTCCCGGGGACAAAATTTCAATTTTCGATTTGCACCCCCCTCTCAAACTTTCGATTTGCACCCCCCCTCTCTCCAACTTTCGATTTCCACCCCCCCTCGAACTTTCGATTTGCACCCCCCCCCCCCCCCTCAAATTTCTCTATATATTTTACTATTTTTTGCCTGAGTGTCACCCCCCTAAATGGTGTCAACCGGTGCGGTCCGCACCCCCCGTCCCCCCCCCCCCCCTCGCTACGCCTCTGGCCTATTTAGTATATTATACTCTGAGACTGTTTAATAAACTTAATTTACGCGAATAGACCCTAGTATTAATTAAAGTTAAATTTAACCCAAATTAGCCTGTGTACGAAACTTGATTTACGCGAATAGACCCTAGTATTAATTAAAGTTAAATTTAACCAAAATTAGCCTGTGTACGAAACTTGATTTACGCGAATAGACCCTAGTATTAATTAAAGTTAAATTTAACCCAAATTAGCCTGTGTACGAAACTTGATTTACGCGAATAGACCCTAGTATTAATTAAAGTTAAATTTAACCCAAATTAGCCTGTGTACGAAACTTGATTTACGCGAATAGACCCTAGTATTAATTAAAGTTAAATTTAACCCAAATTAGCCAATGGCTGTATGGGTCGTTACGTCTAGTGTTTCTTCCCGACTTTTTTGAGGGGGGGGGGGCACTTGATATTTTCGGGGGGGGGGGGGACAACATATTCCGGGTGGGGTGGGGCCCCGAAGAGATGCCTGGGAGAAACTCTGTTCTCGCCTCTAGTGATCAAATTAAAGTAATTAGAATGTTTACTAAATGAGCTAACTAATTAGTATTCCATGTAAACTTGTCCTCGGATTGTTGAAATAATTTAATGACGTCACTGGCGATCAAAACTCGCCGGTTTTTTTTTCTGGATGGGGATCGATACCTAGCAATATGGAGTCGATGCCAGCAACATGGAATCGATGCCAACAACATGGAATCGATGCCAGCAATATGGAATCGATGCCAACAACATGGAATCGAAACTATGCAAACTTTACAGTCAGTAACTGGGGATGTGTTTGCTCAGTGAACAGCTCACCACGGTATTATTCTTCAAGTCGACGTATGTTATTTGTTTTTGTTTTATGAATGCTTTTTAATTTAATTAGTCTAATAAGTGAACTAATTTTTGTTCATATACTTTGCATATTTTTTGTTAGTATATAGTACCTACTAATTACTAGTACGTCTATAATTTTTTTTTAAATTATACTATAGATTAAGATATCTTAAATTCTAGCTGATGAAATACTATAGCTAGAAATAGCTAGTATATTTTACCTAATGATAGTTAGTATACTTTACCTGTTAATTTTGAGTATACTTTACCTATTAATTGCTAGTGTGGCTGACATTCGAATTGCCAGAATAAATTACATTTATATTGCTAGAATATTTTATTTTTAACTGTAACGATGCTTAATGAAGTATTTAATTAATTATCTATGTTTTAGCGGGGAACATGGCATTTCCCCCCTGTCAATTACCCCCCGGATATTTCCCCCCCGACATTACCCCCCAGAGTAATTACCCCCCCCCCCTGTCAATTACCCCCCGCCCAGTAGGACATTACCCCCCCCCCCCCCCCGGGACAGGGTTGGGGCTAGGGCTAGGGCTAGGGCTAGGGCTAGGGCTAGGGTTAGGGTTAGGGTTAGGGTTAGGGTTAGGAATAGGGTTAGGGTTAGGGCTAGGGTTAGGGTTAGGATTAGGGTTAGGGTTAGGGTTAGGGTTAGGGTTAAGGCTAGGGCTAGGGCTAGGGCTAGGGCTAGGGCTAGTGCTTGGGCTAGGGCTAGGGTTAGGGTTAGGGCTAGGGTTAGGGTTAGGGCTAGGGCTAGGGCTAGGGCTAGGGCTAGGGCTAGGGCTAGGGCTAGGGCTAGGGCTAGGGCTAGGGCTAGGGCTAGGGCTAGGGCTAGGGCTAGGGCTAGGGCTAGGGCTAGGGCTAGGGCTAGGGC